AAAAAATTATTTATGTATCATTATTTTTTTTAATGTTTGGGTCCCACATTGCCAAACAGAGAGAGAGAATAGAATGAGATTTTTGATGGATGAAAAAAAAAACCTTAAAACAAAGAGCAATGCTAGGGGCACTCGCTTTCCGCACTCTCCGGTCAACACTTTCTCTTTTATTGGGCCACGTTATCTCGGTTCCCGAGAAGTTGCGCTGAAAGCTTTTAAAGAAGCTTACGTGGCCCAATGAAAGGGGAAGTGCTGGCCGGAGAGTGCGAAAAGCGAGTGCCCCTAGCATTGCTCTAAAACAAATCCATAATTCTACCAAACAAAAAATTAAAAAATAATAATAATTAAAAAGTGAAGATTGTCAACAAAGCAACTCTCTTGCCTACTCCCGACTACACGTCCACAAGCACCACATATAAACTAATATAAATATAAAATCCCTCTTATTTGTTCTTTTTCTAACACCAACAGATTTTTCTCTCATCGCCACCCTCTTTTTTCTCTTTTTCGCCGCTCTCTTCGAATCTGAAATATCGGGAATCAATCTCAAGATACGGTCAGCAATATGAGTGACGACGACTGGGTGGAAGTCGCGATGGCCGACGATTTGTTGGTGGTCCAGATGCTGTTGCGCCTCGGTCAAGCATGTCCGCCGACGCCAGAGGATAAGGATGCGCCGAAACTGCAGCTCGACTGGAGCGTGCGCCAGCGACGCTCTAGGCACGTTCCGAAAAAGAAAGGCGACAAGGCTCGCGCAAGCCCTACCACGCCGCTTTCGTGGAGTGGCGGTACTTCCGTCAGCGGTGGCGGCGGAGGCGGTGCTGCTGCAGACGGTTTCGAGGAGTCCAGTCGTTCTCCTTCCCGAAAACCGGTCGAGAACACGAGATCTAAGGTGTGTTTGTCCGTTATTTTTTGTTTTTTTATTTTAGTTTTGCGACTCACGTACTCTCCTGACTCACTGAGTCTTTTGTGTGTCTGACTCGGTTTTGGTCTCGCCCATGGGATGAGCCTGCTCATCCCATGGGTGGGGAACTCGCAATCTCGTTGGCGTTATGTTTTGACCAAATTACCCTTCGTAAATCACGATATTTACGTCGTTTTTTTGGTTTTAGTATCGTATCTCACCCTTTCTGCATGAAGATTTCTGCTGAATCTTCTGGGTGTAGGGGGGGCATTTTATTACCGGATCGGAATATTCTCCGGCCTCTCGGGACGACCAGTTGTGTTTCAAACTTGGTTGACCGAAATGCCCTTTCGATCTCAACTTATGACTTTATTTTCATCGTTCTTTAATTTCTAGAATAGAAATTTGGTGACTTTCATTCAACGCATGGAGTCACGTTTTTTCACTTGAGAATGATTATTCGACGACGTTCCGCGTGTCCCTCTGCCGTTCAAATGACCAAAACACCCTTATCTAGAAGGGTATTTTCGTCATTAAAAGACTCCTGAGTCCCCACCATAAACTGTCCCTAAAATCCAGTCCGCTGTCGGACTCAATGCTCTAATTACGCCACGAAAAACTGCGCCCCCAAAATGACGAAACTATCCCCAACAATAGTCAAACCCCATCAACTCTTCCAAGGGCAATCCTAGTAAAAAAGTAAAAACGATGTCGTCGCCTTATCTATCGGGCGGCGGTGTGGGAGGGTGGCGTGTTGTCGTGGCAAGATAGGTCTGCGTGTGGTTTGTTAGTGGGTGCGCACTCTTTTTGGAGAACTTATCTAGTGCAGTCAGCCGCAGCTCACCCCATACCCTACTTTCAATCTTGTGCCATATTCCTTTTGTAGGTTTTTTTTTTTTTTTATTGGGGGCAGTGATTCAACCGTATAGGGAAGGGGGGAAGACTTTTAATGTTGGAATCGTTGGTGGTCCATAAATGTAAAAAAATCATGGTCAAATTAATGTTAAATAATTGAAAATCAGATGGTTGCAAAAGTTATTTTAGCAGGCTTTACCGCTTTAGGTAGCCATGGGAAGTGGTTCTGATGTGGGCTCCATTTTTGTCATCAAATTTATGGTACCAGCGAACTTGTTTGGTTGTTGGTATAACCAATCTCTAAAAACATTGTCAACTAACATTAGGGAATTTATTTATTAATTTTTTTTACTCTTATTTCTAATAGTACTAGTAGAGTATAAATTAAATAAATCTTTTATTTTTTTTTTGAATCCGCTGTCTTGCCGTTCAAATTGCTTTCTTTAAATATTTATATTTTGCAAATCAGTATAATTTAAATCGTAAAACGCGTTGTTGCTTCTCATTTTTGAATGATTCTGTACGTTTTTGTTTGTGGATAAAAGTAGGACGGGAGTCCAGGATTGGGGGCAGTTTCCACCCGGGCCACACTTTTGAAAGAGTCTTAAGATTGTATACACGTGTAAAAAGCGCAAAATAGTCACGTGTATTACTTGTGATCCTTTTACGTGGCAACAAATTATTGGCTCATACAGCCGTGTCACGTGCTGCTTTATTTTTATTTTTAGGACAAGAGTGTTCAATTTTGGTCCACACTTCTTTTTTAGGAACGCTACACGTTTGGTAAGTTTCCCGCGTCTTACCTGATTGGAAGTTTATTCCTCTTCCAATCCAGTGATAATATTCCATTTAGAAAATGCTAAAGAAAACGTTAACGGAATGATTGTTCTACATACAGCAAACTCTTCTTTGATGTTTTTAAGTATTAAATTGTGTTTAAAACGTTCTCACGTGGAATTGGTGGTTCTGCTATGGTGTTTTTATTATGGCCTCCTGTTTCTTCTTTCCTTTCGCTCGTTTTACTTTCATTTTTCATCTTCCTCATCTTAAATAAATTATATAAGTTGCTGGTCAACGCGTTTGTTGACCATCTTTTGCCGTCCAATGTACAGGTTCCTGTTACAAGTGAAACTACAGGCAACAAGAGGTCAAGAAGGAAAAAGGTAATTTTACTTTAATAAATGTAAATAGGTCCAAATTCATGTGTGGAACACTAGGCTCGATGGTATGCTAGCTGTAATATCCAAGTCAAAATGGATCACATGTTACATTTCTCCGGTTCAGATTATTAATAACAACTCTTTTTGGGTGGTACCATTAATAAAAACTTGATGTAGAGAATGTTATAAAGATGTACAGTGTTTGTTATGGTAATCAATATCCGAAATGAATTGTTACCATACATGACGGTAGAATTTTCACCTTGATAACTACGGTTTCCATTTGGGCATAATGGAATCCACATTCACAAATATAATGGCATTTTATTATCTGTATATACTGACTAATGACATACATAAAAGGGATTTGGTGGGGCAGTAGGTTATCAGTTTCATTTACTGTGATTTAAATTCCTGTTTGCTTGCAGACTTTACCTGAACTTAAGGAGGAGGAGAGTTCGCTGTTGAAGGAGAAGAGATATTTGAAGAATGTATGTTTTATAAAAATAGAAGACATTTTCTTCCCATGCTTCCTACATGTCTAGGTGGTTCTAAACAGCTGAATACTGATTATTTATTTCATTCATCTGGACCAGGAATTGGCAACATTCAGGCTCAAAGTTGAGAAAGAGAGAGCTGAAAATGAAATTTTGAAGAGAATGAAGGTATAACTCTATATTTGTATCTGTGGGTGCTCATGTGTGAACAGATGTGCGATTGACTTCTTCAAATGATAAACCCTCATATTACTTTCATTTTACTGTCAACATACACTAGTCCAACAAATCTGACTACTTTATTGTATGAGTTTGATCATATGTTTTCAAATCATATGTAAAGCAAACAAAAGGGTTTTGCTTTATGGCCCTGCTGGTAACGAAGATAAAAGAAAAACTTAATTGAACTTGACTTAAATGTTTGGTGGAGCTGTAACAATTAATGTCATCCAAAATGTTTTTGGCTCCTAGGCTATTCATGACCATGTGAGAGTGATGAAATAGTAGTGTAAATGATGGTTATTCTCTGACATTTTACTTTTATTGTTTTGTATGCTGTTCACCTATGTCTCAGCTGAACTATTCAGAAGCACTTGTTGCATTTTTATGCTAGGGTTATAGCACAGGACGTTTTGCTGTTTGGTATTTGTACTTGAAAACAGTTCTGATTACGTTTTACATTTTATCGTCTGCTGACCCAGATAATGGTCAGTCAAATTTGTTGTAGTTGAAGGTAAACTTATCATTGGGCAATGCCAACTTTTGGTGCCATGGCATTAATTGATGCTTCTTTTTATATTTTTAATATTTGAGTAGAGAATCTAGGTGTCATATAAACAAGATGTTGCCTGTATTGGCATTGCCATCATAAGAGTATGGGATAGAGGGACCTTTAAGTAGGTAATTAGGTGTTGTTCCATTAATAATTAGCATCTGATAAATACTGCAATTATGTAAGTTTAGAAGCAAATATTCTGAATAAAGTGTAACCATTACTTTGTTTCTCTTTTCAGCTTGACTTGCTATCAAATCGGGCTACAGAAGCAACCATGGCTTTGGTAGTTCCAAACTCTACTATTTCAGACCAATGCCAGCAGACACAAGTATGTAATGGTCCCAAAAGTGTTGCATGCAATGCGGATGAACCAACTTTGCCAAATAATTCAGCTAAACTACAGGAGGTTGGAAATAGGGAGCCGTCCTTTTTGCTACCTGATCTGAATGTTCCTTTTGAGGATGACTTAGGCTCTGGAGTTCTACATGGACTGAGCTGAGATGATTTATATGAATATTCTTTCTCCAACCTCAACATAAGAAGAGTGAGTGAAGATTTCCAGCAGAGTTTGGTTAAATAATACATGGTAGCCCTAACTCATTGCCAGTTATTCGAAGTAACAAACCACTTACCTACTTCGTTTTCTGACCTTGATGCAGAAGCTTGCTTCGTTTCTTTTTTTATGGAGGTCGGTCCTGATGGTAGTGTAGAGAGCCTAACACATTAGATAGTCTGATATTTTTGTTTTCTTGAAGGTTTCAACTTTCAACATCTGTCTGGAATTCTTAGGGGGATAAACCCTCCATCCTTCTGTTCCCTTTCCGAAGAATACTTCAACTAATAATTAACTGTAATTATTTTTTATATAGATAGTCGCATGTTGGACACCTTAGGTTGAACCATGTCAGTTTGCTAGTTTATGTACTTTTCTGCTGGATTTTTTCTTGCACATTGGTATGAAATGGATGTCGACATACAGGAATAGTGAACATATTCTTTGTAGAAATTTGTATAATTAGATCTAGGGATTGTTGATTGTTGTTCGTGGGTGACTTTGTTATAGGAAGTTCCAAGATTGATTTGTTCTCTCACTTTTAGCTGAAAATGGTTGGCATGGTGACTGATCCTGGGATGTGGCATGAATGCTTGCGACCCTACAAAATCTCCTCTCTCTTTTTTTTTTTTTTTTTTTTTTGTTTTTTGGTTTAGGGAAAAATTAGGATATCTAGACATAATATTTAATAATAATTTTTTTAATCAACAATATTTAATAATAATTATATGATGAATTAGATAAAATTAAAATTTATGTTATATTTTATATATTTAATGGCTATTATTAAAAATTTTGACATTTTAAATGACACAATACCTTGGTTTCCTTTCTTCTCCCTTCACCAGTAACTAGGTTACTGACAAATGCAAGTGTTTGGAGGACTGATTTACCTAAATAGGAGTTAGTTTGGTTTATCTTCACCATCTTGTGGACAAGCATTTTAGCATTTTAATTTTAAGGTTTCTAAGAGAAGGAAATTCTTACAGAAGTTTTATAATTGTCTGAACTTGATTTACTCCAAAGTATATGCAACAAAAATGTTGGTATTTGATTGTAAAAACAAAATTAATAAACGAACTCGAGAAGAAAAAAAAAATCAATAAACTCAGGAACTTAATTGAAGCAATTTCATTTTCCCCTCTTCAGATGTTCTATTGAGCCACCTAGACCTCGTCCATTTTAAAGGAGCCCACAAGTTCCTTTTCTTTTTTTTTTTTTCTTAATCAGCAGAGCCCACCATGCCCAAATCGGGTCGGAACTGGGAAATTGCTGGGTTCGGTCCAAAACCAAACCCAACAGGACACTGGACGCTACCCAGTTGTGCTCCTAGCTTTAATAATAGTATGTTTGATTTGAGGAGAGGGGACGGGAGGGCAAGGGTAAAAATGTTAGAAAAAAAGTTTGGAGAGGAGAAGAGTTCTTTATTTTATTTTTCTGAACATTGAGAGGGGAGAGAAATAGAGAAAAATGAAAGAATATGATATCATATAAAACTTTTATTTCTTTTCAAACTAAGTATACTCTAAGACCTTTATTTCTAACATCAAAGTTGAAGGAACATCTTAATAATACCAGTGAATTAATCAAAAAGTTCTTTATGTTGTAGTTAAGGAATTATGTGATGAGAGAAAACTCTAAAGGATTAATCTAACTTGTGCCTTAAGTGCATTAATTAAATGTATTATTTTGTAATAAATTTTTATAAAAAAATGTAAAAATAAAATATTATTTTTAACACTAATACCACTTAGATGCTTTTAATTAAGTAATTGATAAATTTAAAATTAATTTAAAATTAACTTTTATTTTTTATATAAATTAATTAAAAAAGTATTATTAATACTTTTTTAACTTGTATTTTTAAGATATATGTTAGATAAATTTAACTTTAAATACAAAAGACTTACTCTTTGTCTAATAAATTAACTTATGAAGTGGAGTATAAAACAAATTAGAAGTAGTGATGTGAGGCTGTTTTGTTATTGTTAAGATCGTGCATTTTTAGTAATGGTGGACACTTTATGGGAAGAAGTGAAAACGCAGTCTTCAAGTAATTAAGAACGATGAAAATGGACTCGTACATCATGTATAGCCATATGATAATTGTTTAAAATACATGAGTCAACATTGCTTTTCAATTCAAGTCTTTCAATCCCATTTTTCTTTATGCAAAGTTTATTTAAACATCGATCGATGGTGGCAACAGGGAAACGATTCGATTCCATGGAGAAGGTGAAACCGAGTTTAGTCCTTCAACATCGAGAGTGTCCTTTGATCTAACACGCTTGCACAGTAATCATTGAACGCAAAGGTCGTGCCTAGTTTAGAGTGTCATTGATCTAACATATACGCTAGCATAATAA